GACCATGGGATCCAATTTCTCCTCAGCCCTTATGAGTGAGACGTGCTCCTAAGTGGACATTCAAATTACAAACCTTGGGTTGTTCTGTTATGGACTGAATTACGACAGGACTAACTGGCTATCTCAATACCATAAAAATACAATCACTGTAAGAAAAAAAATAACCACAGGCAGACAAATTTATACCATTTTGACATGAAACTGCAATAGAAAACCACAAAACATATGGGCTCTTTGGCACAGACTTCCACTCTTTTGCTCCATCCAACATGGTAGCCACCAATTTTTAAGTTTTAATTTAAATTGAAATAGCCACAGCTATGCAACATTTGCACCACTGCCGAAAGACTTACTGCACTGCTCTAAGTCCCACGTAAGAATCATGAGCAAGTTCACGCGACCTGTTTCCAGTCCTTAACATCTAAATGCACTGATAGCTCTCAGGGTCATACACACCAAAACAAGTTCTGCTCACTTCAGGGTCATAACAGACTTTGCCCTTTATTTTCCCCCAAAGCTCCCTAAACTTAAAAAAAAAAAAGGCCTCCTCTTAAGTGATGCAACATGTATGCCTCAGAGAGTTTCTGAGGCATACAGAGTGTTCTCTCTCTCCTCTTGAAGATTGAAGGACCCAGGTGCCCCAAATAAAAGACTATTAAAGGGCCAGCACCGTGACGTAGTGGTTAAGTTCCACACGCTCCGCTTCGGTGGCCTGGGTGTGGACCTACACCACTTGTCATGGCCATGCTGTGGTGGCAACCTGCATACCAAATAGAGGAAGATGGGCACAGATGTTAGCTCAGGGCTTATCTTCCTCAAGCAAAAAAAGAGGAAGACTGGCAACAGATGTTAGCTCAGGGTGAATCTTCCTCAGCCACACACACACACAAAAAAGGACTATTAAAAACAATTACAGTTCATAAAGAAGAACATAAACCCTTTCCTTATTTTATCACCAAAACCTCAGGTAACAAACATGAAGACCCTCAAAAGGTATTCTCTGCAGAGAATATTTTTAAAAAACAAGTTATGGTTATTGTGGATAATTACAAATTCCTGCTTTGAAAGAATAAGATACATTGAAAAATCAAAACCCTTAATTCAATAACAACTGAATGTCCAAGCCCATTTCTTACTGCTGTTTTCTCTCCAAAAGAGGATGACAGAAACTTCTTTCAATTTCTTTCTTAGGCCTCTAATGCCTACTCATTGGATCATTTTCCAGAGAAGGTGGCAGAAGGATCCACTCAAACTCCTAATTTGAAGCAGTTTTTTTGAGTTTACTCCCAGGCCTAGATAACTCTGAGCCAAGCCAAATGCATGACTTACACACCGCTTTGCAAACCCAGCTTAACTCTAACAAGGTTTCTCAGCAGCAGCACTACTGCCATTTGGGACCAGATAATTTGATAATGCCTCGCTATGGGGCCGTCCTACACATCACAGGGTGTTTAGCAGCATCCTTGGCCTCTACCCACTAGATGTCAGGAATAGCACCTCCCCAGCTGTGCCAACCAAAACGTCCCCTGGGGGAGGCAAAATCGCTCCCTGTTGAGAATCACTGCTTTAACCTAAGGAACATTCTTGATTATCTCAACCCTAATTCCTCATATTCATTTGATGTTCCCCCAAGTCTCTGCATTGAGACTTTGTCTCAGTAAATATTTACAGAATCTCTACAACGTCAAGGCCTCTTGGAGATAGACAAGATAGATTCTGTTCCTACCCTCAAGGAGGTTTCTTGGGGGGTAATTACATAAAGAACTGTCATAAGGGGCTGGCCCAGTGGCGTACTGGTTAAGTTCGTGTGTTCCACTTCAGCAGCCTGGGGTTCACAGGTTCAGATTCTGGGTGTGGACCTAAGCACCGCTCATCAAGCCATGCTGAGGCGGCCTCCCACATAGAACAACCAGAAGGATGTACAACTATGACATACAACTATCTACTGGGGCTTTGGGGAAAATAAAGGAAAAAAGGAGGAATTTTGGCAATAGATGTTAGCTCAGGGCCAATCTTCCTCAAAAAAAAAAAACAACAACAACAACAAACAAGAACTGTCATAAAAGATACCCAATTATATAATGTTTTGAATTGTTGACTTTTGTTCCTGTGGTATTCTCATCTTAGCAAACTAAAAACACCTTGAGGGCAAAGACCATCACCTGCCTTGGAGTACCAATTTTTTGTGTGTGTGTGTGTGAGGAAGATCAGCCCTGAGCTAACATCCATGCTAATCCTCCTCTTTGCTGAGGAAGACGGGCTCTGAGCTAACATCTATTGCCAATCCTCCTCCTTTTTTTTCCCCAAAGCCCCAGTAGATAGTTGTATGTCATAGTTGCACATCCTTCTAGTGGCTGTATGTGGGACGCGGCCTCAGCCTGGCCAGAGAAGTGGTGCGTCGGTGCGCGCCCGGGATCTGAACCCGGGCCGCCAGGAGCGGAGTGCGTGCACTTAACCCCTAAGCCACGGGGCAGGCCCCATGGAGTACCAATATTTGATTAATGGCCAATAAAAATAAATGATTGTAACCTTCATCATAACAAAGTTACAATTTCATATAGACAGTAAAAACTCCACAGCTAACCTGAGCAAATAAGTTAACCTCTCTTGGCCGTAGTCTGTCCTTCTGTAAAATGGAGAGAAAATGACTGCTGACAGGATTAAGTCAGATAATATAAGTAAATCTTTTTCCACATTCTGGCACAGAGTAAGCCTTCAATTAATATAAGCTATCATGACTACTATTTTATTAGCAACAAATTGTACCTGAAGGCTAAGAGCTTGCTCTGGGCTACAATAACAAACCCCTATTTGACATAAAAAGAAATCAACACTCACCCTGCTTTCCGAGGGCAAGAGGAAGAAAATAACCATAAGTATCTCTATCAATATCCTGAGAGGAAAAAGTAAAATGCAGGAACCCATCTGAAGGGGGGGAAACAGACACACTCAGAGACAAATCCACTATCCTCCAATATATTCTTGGTCTATTCTTAAGACCTTTCTATTTAAAATGCTTGGGTATGTGCCATAAGCACACAAGGACCTAAAGGGGAAGTTAAAAAAAAAGCTTTTATTTATAAATATTGACATATGCAAGGGACAGATGTTTATGAGACTTTCTGAGTTTTCTTTTGCTTAATCTTTCAGAAATTATGCTTACAATTTCTATTGCTATGTTAAACATACTACCGATTTTTAATTTACTATAAAGTATGAGTTCATAACAAGAAAAAAACACAAAAATTGTTAAATGTTTTAAAGTAAGAATATAAAGTCACAAGAAAAAGCTGGGTGATTCAAAGGTGGGGTGTGTGTGTGTGTGTGTGTGTGTGTGTGTTTGACTGAAGCAGCATTAGGAGACAGGAGATATTTGGGACAGAAGTAGAAGATGCAGACAGTCACCATGCAAGAAGATACACATCCAGGGACACCTCCTCTAACAGCACACGGAGTGTAGGTCAGCAAAAAGAGACCTTATTCTCCTAACAGCGGATAACACCAGCATAGTGTGCACCATGGGCCAGGCTCCAAGCACCTCACACACAGTGGCTCCTGTAATCTTCCCAGCAATCTGATTAGGCAGGGACTATTAGTACTCACATTTCACAGATGAGAAAACTCAGATATAGATTAGTTAAATGACTTGCCCAAGGTCGCTTAATTAGTAAACTGAAGATTCAGACTCCCGCCCAGGCACCGTGGCACCACCTCTACCGCTATACTTCACGGTGTCTTTTAATTTCAGACCTGGAAAATTAATTTATGCTTGCTATTTAGTGAGACCAGTTCTCTCTCCCTACCCTTTTGTACTTCCAAAGCGCATCCTTTTAGTTACATCGTGTGTGGTGATCCAGAAGGAGGGCTGAAAGGTAAAAGGGTGCGAGATGGACCCTGGAGCCTGTGGACCCTGACAATGAAGTAATGCACACGGCCAAACGTGAGCGGGTCGAAATGGAGACAGTCTCCCGAACAAGAGGAGGAGGGTCCTGCAGAATGAGAGAGGTCGCCAAAGTTCCTATTTCGGCTCCTACTTCCTGCCTTTGCTCTGGCCACCAGGTTCACTCAAAACACTCCAGCCTACCTAGTCCAAGTCTGCTTCATCTCTCCCCCTCTGAGGGGTGAAGAGGATGGAGGCTCGAGCCAAGGCGGGGTCTGGACAGAGGAAGGCGAGGCTGCCTCCCCGGCTGGGGGCAGAGAGGCGCGTGGCGAGGCTGGGACAGAGGTGGGGATCGGGGTGAGGAGCCAGAAGCGGGGGGGCCACGAGGCCAGAGGGGTGGGGGCCGGCAGCCCAGGGGTGACGTGCGGGCGTGCTGAAGCTCAGGAGGCGCCAGGGGCAGAGCGGCCCTGTCACTACCACCTGGGCCGATCTGAGAAAGGAAGCGGGGCCGGAACCAGGGCATTTCGAAACCGGAGTAGACAACGACCTCGAGCGAAGCCCAGGGCCCGGGGAGGGGCGGGGGTCGCGGCCCCGGGGAGCGGGGCCCGGACAGCAGCGCAGGCAGGGGCTCCGCGCGCTAAGGGGCTGCCCAGGC